TTAGTGTCGCATTTGCTAATTCATGTAATGTCAGATTAAATGCCAACCAACACATTAAATTCTAATAAATCCCCTGTTTTGTCTATTCGAGTCTCTCCAGATAGAGTTGTTTTGTAACATGGTTAAAAACCATTACAAAGTGGATTCTCTTCCATATATCGAGATCTCGTTAGATACTGATGAATATGTTTGTGGTGTAATGCTGGAACAGACGCTTGGATCACAGTGAAAACTGAAAACTCTCCGGTTGTGAGTCATCACGTGAGGAATAATTGTGATGGGAACGATTTGTACTTTCTGGAAAATGAGGGCGCGACATGAAAGGGCTCTTAATTAAAGTGGACTCAATGGGGAAAGGATCATTCATCATACTCCAACAGGGCAAAGGGAATCTTAGCATCAAAAATATGAGGCTGTTTTAAATGACAATTTAAAACAGCCAAAATACAAACAACATCGACTTTCTCTTCTCTCCACGTGACCAAAACCAAATATAGAGTTTTTTTATATCAGGATCTCCTGGCACAAACACATGGGCAAATGCCCCCCTTTCAAAGGGTTTTTTTTGGCTGGTGCTCACATGTGGCAAAGGGGAAGAGGGTGATAAAACTATGCACAAGTCACACCAGGGACAGTTCTTTGCATATTAACAGCGTAACGAGCCATGGAGCTGTGTTTGGGTGAGTAAAGCTCTCATCGTCAGAGTTTGGGCTGTTTCACACTCTGATCTCTCTTTTATGAAGTTGTCCTTGTGAAACATGTGTTTGAAAACATGGGTTTCTCTAGCTGGATGAGAGACTTACTGTAATCCATTGTACACACTCTCTTGTTTCTCCCTCTGGTCTTTTTCCGGTCTCCTCATGACCTTGCAACCCTTACAACATAGACAACCTGGATTCTTCTTGTGGAATCATAATCTATTTGACACGAGACAAGAGGGGATTTTTCACAAAGGAACATTTTGAAATAATAATTGGAGAGAGGCTTCCTGACTGCTGCTCCTGCTGTAAATCTGGAAACGATGTCCTTGGAGATGTCTCTTATTCAATTTGGTTCAACAGGAGCCAGAGTGTGTTGGAGCCAAACTTGACCTTTGAGCACTTCTCTTTTGGGCGTCATTGAGATAGCGGGTTAGCATTGTTCTGCTATGTACATTGTATAGTAAAGGCTCACAGTCATCGCAAAATGCCATTTTTTTAAAATTCCCTTTATAACTGCCCCTGTAACCGGGTTACAGGGGCAGCAGTCTAAGCAGAGACGCCCAGACCTTCCTCTCCACACACATTTCCTCATCTGGGGGGCTCCTGGGGCGTTCCCAGGCCAGCTGAGAGATATAGTCCTTGGTCTCCTCCCGGTGGGACATGCCTCCCCACTCTTTGTTTTCTTGCACTCATTTTCATAACATTCTTTTTTATAACATGTTTGCACATTTCCTGTCCTTCGCGCACCCTGAGTGAGCCTAATATTATGCCAAATGTGACATGTACATTTCTCCATTGTGAATTCAATAAAGTCTATTGTATTGTATCTTATCTTATCTACTTAAAGAAACTCCTGTACCCCAAGACCCGGTGCTGTCTTTATTTTCCCATGGCACACCAGATCGTACGGCACAGTGGTTGAAAAACACTGGTATGGGTATTGCCCTAAGGTTTCGGGAAGAGGAGATTCGCCTTGACCCCAGCTTTAAACAAAAACTGTGTGATCCCAAAAAGATCGTCAGTTTTTGCACAATCGGCCTATTCATGTTGTGCCATTAAACAGTGAAACCAGTTTCCGGACAGTCTAATATTTGTCTGTAGATCAGAAACATTTTTCTATTAATTTGAAAAAGCACATTTTAGATCGTCAATCGTGTCAACATCAATGAACATTAATAGCAATAGAAATGTTATTTGTATGTCATTTTGCTTTTATGTTTGTGATGTGTGTAAATCTGGTGCAAACCGTCTCTTCTTTTGTCTATTTGTAAGACAAATGGTTTTTGTACATTGTCCCTGTTTTATAAATGTCACCTGAGGTACCTTTTTAAAAGTTCACAGTAACAGTAAATAAACCAGGAACTAAAACCAAGGACACAGGTAAGTATGTAAAAACAAACGACAGAGACAAGACTTAAAATGTGCGATTAGAATTTTATCAAAAGCTGGAGCAATTAAGAGTTTTTAAAAAAGATTTAATTCATTGCAATGTAATTATTAAAAAGTCCAGAAGTCAAAATATTAAAAAAACCCGCCAAAAGGTTTAAAAGCTGCAGCCCCTGGGTATCATAAAAATTCAATATACTAAAATAAACTAATAACTAAATGAATCCAACGAGGGCGACCTGCGCGGGGAGTAGCCCCACCCGTAACAAAACAGAAAGTGCTACCTTCACTCACAACAAAACAACAAGACCCAATAGTGCAAATAACTGAAAGAAACTGGGCTAGGTCCCCCTCAGGCGCGCCCCGGGAGAACTAAATATAACTAAACTTTACACCTAAGCTCCAGAGTCTACAGCATTAAAACCTAAAAACCTTTATATAAAAGTGCAGTGCTAGATTAAAAAAATGATGCAAAACTCCATCAACACACAGCCTTTTTGGGGATTGGCACGCTCCATCGCAGGAGCCTCTCCGATCTGAAGGCCGCACCGGGGCCTAGGGCGCCAAACCTCCTCCCAATAAAATACTCAAAAGCTTCTTGTTTTCTCGTCTCTCCAAATTGAAATGCAGCCCGCGGAAATTCAATTTGGTAGACGTCAGCCAAAGTTACCCCCTCCAGGCCGGTTCACATCCCCAGCCTATCGCGCTGCAAACGCCCCCTTCCAATCACCCGTACCGGCCAGGCAGCCGCTTAAAAGCGGAGAAACTCCCACTTCACTTCCTCCCGAAGCCTTGCAACCACCGCCTCCCCTCCTCCTCCTCTTCACCCTGCCTCCAATCTGCCTTCAATCTGCTTCCCGCTGCCAAATGCCGCCACCAGTGCCTAGGTCCCGGGGGATTGGCGCGCTCCATCGCAGGAGCCTCTCCGATCTGAAGGCCGCACCGGGGCCTAGGGCGCCAAACCTCCTCCCAATAAAATACTCAAAAGCTTCTTGTTTTCTCGTCTCTCCAAATTGAATTATTTCGCGGGCGACTAAAAACAGACCACATATCTGAGATGCCTGATTTTCACAGAAGGCCTGAAGTTCCTGTTATTAGGGTGGAAAAGAATCAGAATTAGAATTATTTTTATTTCCATTGTAAGTAACAGGAAAATAGAAACCAGAAATTGTCTTTGTCTCAAACAAGTTATAAAAGTAAAAATATATATGCATAAAAATAATTCATAACGTTTCTGAAAATTGGCTAGTGGATAGCACTCTTGGGCCTTTCTGAGTGGAGTTTGCATGTTCTCCCCGTGTCTGCGTAGGTTTCCTCCAGGTGCTCCAGTTTCCCCTACCACTAAAAACAAGTACAATAGATCTGGCATGTGCCTCCTGTTCAGCGCCCTCGCTCCCATCTCTGTGTGGAGTGAGAGACAAAGGCCCTCAACAATTGTAAAGTGCTTTGTGACTGCGTCTGTGAAAGGCGCTATATAAATAAAGATTACTCTTCTCCATGGGCCCTTCTCCATGGGATGTAAGTTGGATCCCAACTGGTCACTGTGCCGTGGCAACATGGTTGGGACTTATTTTCACATGGTTTGGGAGTGGCCCGAGACCTGTCCACCGCATTGTGCCAAGTCCCCTGTTCCCCCACGGCCCTTCTTTTGAATGATTTGACTGCACTGGGGCTTAACAGACCAACACAAAGGATCTTATTGGCTGGACTTACGGCAGCCAAAAAAATGGTTGCCACCAGGTGGAAGCATCCTCCCTCGCTATCCCGCCATCAGGGGTTTATGATATTTGACGACAATGCGTATCTAGAACTCTCTACATGTCGTATAAATGGTGCTAAAGAAAGCACAATTGCTATGTGGGCTAGATAAACTGAAGTCCTTTTCCTTCTGAAAATGGTACTCACCTTGGAGTAGTACAGTTTTTGTAAGTACATGTACTTGTGTGTAAATGGGTACTTTCAGATGTATGTATTGTATGTCCATCCATCCATCCATCCATCCATTTTCTTCCCTTTAATCCATTTCTGGGTCAGGGGGGTGGCAATCAGAGATGCCACCCAAGTCTCATAGCACCAGCCCCTCACTGACCCTCTGCAGGTGGTGAGTCCACAGGAGGACGGCTGCTCTCTGAGTGAGAGCATAGCCTTGATCTTTCAGTGGGGGCTTTGGGCAAAGTGGGGTTAAGTGTCTTGCCCAAGGACACAACGACAGCAGTCATCAGTGGGAGTCAGTGGAGAAGGTGCAGAGGTGGGAATTGAACCCACGACCTTCTGGCCTTAAGGCCAATGCTCTACCAACTGAGCTACTGTCGCCCCTACTGCGATGTGTACTGTATGTGTAAACAAAATACAAAGCAAATGGATCCTCACATGCTGTTTTTAATGCACCTCACCCCATTTTTAATGCACATCATAATACTCCCATCCCAGAAAGGAAGACTTGGTTACATATAAATTATAGTCCCTTGGTTTAACTTTAGTCATGGCAGCCACCACCATTGTTGTGGTGGTGGCGCACACACGCACGCACAGACAGGTTCCCTTTTGTCTCCTATCAAACGTCCTTTTCTTCCTGCACCTATGTTTCTTTGTTCCTTATTGTGTCTCATTATGTTGTCATATGTTTGTCTCTCTTTTTCCTGTATTGCTGAATAAAATAGAATAAAAATAAATAAAAATAATAATAAATAAATAAAGATTACTTACTTACTCACTACTTACTTACACTCTACTAAATAAGTGCACAATACGTGCACAAGGAGACATCAAGGCATCTCCAGGTCTGTTTTTGAAAGGGAAGAATGTAGTAAAGAGAAAAGCTCAAAAATGTTTATATGTTCCTTAAAATTTTAATATTGAAACTGTATTCTATTGGTGTCCCCTCTGGTCCTCTGTCCCTCTCCGGTGGCTCAGGTCAATGGGGCTTGCCGACCGTCAGCGTGTCCTCAGTCCTGGGCATGATGGCTGGAGTCTTGGCGTCCACCATGGAGTCCATCGGGGATTACTACGCCTGCGCACGGCTCTCTGGCGCCCCCCCTCCGCCCACACACGCCATCAATAGGGGCATCGCAGTGGAGGGAATCGGCTGCATCTTGGCCGGGCTCTGGGGCACGGGTAACGGGACCACCTCCTACAGCCAGAACATCGCCGCACTGGGCATCACCAAGGTAACGAGCTGGAGCTTCTGTTGGTGAGAAAACTATTGTGACCATGTTGTGTATTTCAGTGTATACTTCCGTATTGGGTTTCATTGAGCTTTAAGGGGAGTAGCAGTTACACTGAAGGGGCGCCAAACTTAATTTAGTCGAGGGTCTAAATGCTTTTTTCTTCTTTGATTTAACTAAATTTGGATTGCTATAATAGAGCAGTTATTATCATTTGTGTTAACTGTTTCTAATTGTTTATTAGAAACAGTTATATTTATTATATTGTTTATTCCATATTAAAACTTTTAGTTTCATAAATAATACAAATTGTTTGTCCCAAGAAAAAGAGAGGCTCTTTTGTAGAGGAAAATGTTGCATATTCCAGTTAAACAAAATCATGTAGAAATGTTGGATCTTCCGAGTGTGATGTTTATAGCATAGACTGTATATAATAACGGACAGAGTCATGCCTATCTCCGTCGTTCATAGGAGTTGGCCATGAAAAGTGCTTTCATGGAGCAATATAAGATGGCCGTGAGTGGTCCCGCCCACGAGAAAATTGTGAAAAAACGCATCTGTGCGTGCGTCAGCCGGCGCAGCTCCATTCATTTGAACGAGAGACTTCAAAAATTCACAGCAAGTAAACTAGAGTGGTCCAAAAAAATTCACCCCCCTCAGCATTGACACACATGTGTGACGGAGCTTTGGGCCAAGAGCCAACTTTTGGTCCATCCTGTAAAGACGTTTTTGAGAGGTCTGCCAACGCTATATGTTAGCATTGGATAATTCTTCTTCTGGGTCCACCCCCATCGGCCCGCGGTGGTATTGCAAGCATGTCAGCGCACGTCATTTTGTCCACTTTTATAGCTGGGACCCGCCCCCACTGGTTTATAGGCAGGAGTGCACATAAGTGGTACGCAGGTACGCATGCGCGACAAATATCAGAAATGCGTACTATCCCTTGAGAACACCTGTGCATACTTCACATAGACCAGTCCTTCTCAAATAGTGGGTCGCTCCTCCCTAGGGGGGCGTGGTGCAATGCCAGAGAGGGACATCGCGGGGCACTTGCTGCTGTTACTGTACGTACTCGAACGGGATTCCAAATCCTCTGTGGCAGCAGCGTTCTGACTCCAGAGCCACTCCAGCGCGGACCATTCTCTGCTTGTTGCAAGTGTGTGTTTTTGCGTAAAATAAATAAATACATATTGCGTTACTGAAAGAAACAGAGCTGGACTCTGGACTATGGAACTAGGGAGTGTCCATGTCCTGTGTCTCTAAATTAAAGCTGTGGTACCTACATTTTCCTGTGCATTAACAATGCATAATGATGTTGGTTGTGCCCAAAAGTAAAATGTTGAGAACAAATCAAACAGAACATTGTTTTTTTTTTTGTTGCATTTTTAAGAAAGAGCCCTGTGAGTCATTATTTGACTTGGATTGAGTGTATTATCTAAGCTGATCTAAACTTTAGCATTAAAAAGAAGTAAGAATAAAATCTCAATTAAGAACCACGCGACAAATGGAGTAAGTACCAAAAACCATCTCTTGGTAATAATCTGAGAACCTCACTGAAAAAGTTATATGCACCCCTGTTTATAGGGCTGTGGCAAGTCACTGCCCTGGGCAACGCCAAAGTCACAGGCGTTATACGGCATAACAGAGAATGGCATGTGTTGTTGAAATAACTGTGGCAACCATGTTGTGTTGGTGTAACCACGCTGATCATGTCTGTGTAAATGTCCAGCTTGGACTTACTTTGTTTTGGACTTCAGTTTTCTCATATACATGTCGGCGTTGTGTTGAATATGGCCAGGACCCAGTGCTGTCTTTAGAGGTTTTTATCATTTCTATGCAAAAGAGAGGAAAGTTACAGATTTAACCACAGGTTTTTGTAAACGTTTGTGTCCACTTTATTCTGCACATTACTTTGTTGCTACTGATCAATTTGCCAATAGATCAGATCAGAGATCAGACAATTAATCTGTTTGATCTCATGAAATACAAAAATACATTGGTCATTGGTCCATACGGAGAGGATTCAGTAATCTTAATAAATATCTAGGATCATCACTGTCCATATTCCCTTCTGCATCTGCATAAAAAACCCAGTGGGAAAAAGTCAGAAACCTGTTAGAAGCCCATATTGAGAGACAGATCTGCTCCAGGACTGAGGCTGTTGATTCAGGTTTGAAGAGGCCCCCAGGCGGGAGGGGGTCCCCCTCTGGTCTGGGCATGACTCTGATCACAAGACACATCCAAGCAGCACTCCTGTTTTCTCAATTCACACACTTCACACAATTCACACAATACACACACTTAACGCATCGCACTGATATCAATCATAATTACTGCAATGGCTTTAGAGGCTTCTGATGTAACGAGGCCGACAGCTTCAGGCCTATTTTACAAACACAACATGCTCACGCCTGGATCTCCAATGAAAGCATTAAACGTTTAGTTGCCGCAGGGTTTCGTTCTTATTTACTGCAGTCAAATAATGAATAAAATTTACTACGAACTCTGCGGAGCACGGGTCTGACCTCCTGCAGGTCCCGACCAGAGGAGGCAGTGTTTTAGATTTAATCAGCACAGGTCATGGCTTTGAATGAGTAGAAATCTTGAAGACCTCAGAGCTCGGGTATTGGACGGAACGGTGGCTGAGTGAATAGCACTCTCGCTTCTCAGCGAGAAGGTCCTGGGTTTGAATCCTGGTCAGAACAGGGCCTTTCTGAGTGGAGTTTGTATTTTCTATCCGAAAACTATCTGAATTCTGAACAATTGTGAAGTGCTTTGGATGACTTTGGTCTGTAAAATGTGCTATATAAATAAACATAAAATATATATATATAAACAAAATCAAATAGCTTAATCTGCTAGGAAGACAAGTTGATTGTTGATGAGCAGACAACACATTTACTAATGAGATGAAGATGAACTGTGAGTAATTGAAAAGCCAAAACTGTTAGCCCTAAGCCAAAACTTTGGGCTAAAGTTGGTGTCTCTAAGACCAAATACCAGATTATGAAGTCAGATTGCGGGCAAACATACCCAATATCGAAGCTCTCCTTCCTAAGTCCCAACTGAGATAGGCGGGACATGTGGTTAGAATGGATGACAATTCGCCTTCCAAAAGCTGTCTTTTACGGTGAGCTAACTACAGGCAAGAGAGGCCTGGGCAGGCCAAAACTTCATTTCCAAGATTGCCTGAAACCCCACATGAAAACTGGCTATATCAATGTTGACTCCTGGGAGCAGCTGGCTGGTGACCGTCAAAAATGGCCTACATCAATCGAAGCAGCTGCTGTGTCGGTGGAGAAGAAATTATAGTCCCAGTCAAGAGAGAGCAATCACCGACAAGCTGAGTGGGCCCAAACATAGATCCCTAGCGCCCTCTCCTTACCAGCCCCAGATATGGGAGGGCCTGCCGCCACTGCATCAGCCTATAGTAGATACAGTAGTGTCGATAGTCTTACTCAATACAGAGTGGCCGTCATTGGGCAAGATTTTCATTAGAATTGTATTTACTGTATTTGGATGTTTGCATGAATATTTTTTGAACTGCCAATCGGATATTCAATCCTATGGAAGCCCGTTTCAGAGGAAATGTTCATTAAGATTTGACAATTAGACCCCTGCAGAGATACTGGAGGAGTGAATCTAATAGAGATTATGAACCCCTCAGGGTCTGTTGGATTTTTGATTCTCCGATCTGTTGATGACAAATCAACAACTTTGTAAAGTCCTCTGAGAGGACTGACAACTACTCTGATTCTCCAGGGCCTAAACCATTGGTGGGCAAAGCAAGGCCCGTGGGCCAGATGTGGCCCTTTGGACATTTCTTTCTCTGGAAATTTCCTTCAGGCCCCTGAGGCCTCCTCAGTTTGTGTAGATATAGTCTGAAGTATATTCTATGCTGCATACAGAGCTCAGAGGCTGCAGTTTCACTGCTTGCTCTGCCACAAAGTACCGGGGCAGCACGTGGCTGAGTGGATATCACTCTTGCTTCTCAGCAAGAAGGTCCCGGGTTCGAATCCCGGTTGAAACAGGATCTTTATGAGTGGAGTTTGCATGTTCTCCCGTGCCTGCACAATTTCCTCCGGGTGCTCCGATCACCCCTTCCACCAACAACATGTACAAAAGGTAAATCCTCCAGATATGGTAGTCCTGACAATGCCGAGCATCGCATCTGCAGATGGGTTCCCGGGCGTTGAACTATGACGACCACTGCTCATGACGGAAGACTTTGCGACATCAGGATGGGTTAATTTCAGAAGATGAATTGTTCTATAGGGAATTGTTTACAAACTTTACAATATTTTTTTGTTGAAAATTAAGCCTGAGAAAAACATCGGAAATTAGGTCCGGCACTGACAGCTGATATTCCAATGTGGTCCTCAGGAGGAAAAGTTTGCCCATATCTGGCCTAAACCCTGGTGGCGAAGGAATCTAAACCAATAACATGACAATTCTCCACTGAAGAGGTGGAGACGGGGAGGAGGAGGGTTGCTGTATGAACTGCAGCTTGATGCAGGGACAGAAAGGGGCAGTTTGACTGAAGCTGTGATGTGAACTCAGGTGTGGAGCAGAGGGGGAAAATCATGTCTGAATCTTTCAGCCTGAGTTTCCGCTTTAGCCTCATGTTTCAAACCAAACACGAAGCCTCTCACAAATCTCTTTATCCACCTCTATAAAAGCAAAGTAGAATGTGTCAGTGGTTTTCTTCTTCTAGTTCAAATGAGGCATAGAGTGACTAAAAGATCGTGGTGTTCTCTGTCCGGATCAGCGCTTCCTGAAGTGCTTTTTATGATGCTTTCACATTCGTATCATCTTTTCTTCAGTGACTCACAGATATTAACAAGGACAGATAATCTGCTCTCTCTGTGGTTGTGGATTCGCAGACGGACCACATCATGCCGGCTTACATTAACACTGAGGCAAGCACCGTGCCAAAACACTGTAGGACTGTTATCTTGAGCGAGTGGATTTTACGGCTGAGGTCGCTGTGGGGGGAGCATCCGGCTGTGTAGTCAGAGCTGATTCATGGCACAAGACAAGGGTTCGGAAGAACCTTGTTTCCTTGTGTGTGGAGTTTACATGTTCTCCGTGAGTCTGCATAGGTTTCACCTACAACTAAAAACATGTAGAACAATGACTGAATGGAATTGAGTGAGTGGAATGACTTAAGGTGGCTGTCAAACCTGCTCATCCGATGCAGAGGTACAATTGGGCCCGGTAGAAGGCAAGACACTTCACATTGCCTAAACTGAGTCTGGTGTATGTGTCAATAGTTGGCGGTGGTTGGGAGGGTCGGCGGCACATACTGGCTGAAAAGCACTATATTAAAATATGCATTCTTATTGAAACTGGTTTTAGCCAGGAACTAGTTTTTATGACATAGTTCCATTTGTTTAGGATATGAAAGTTACGCACGCCAGCTTTAAAGGCACACCGTGTAACTCTTGGCCACTAGGGGCGCTAGACCTGCAACTTTCACGTTTAGCGCCCCTAGTGGCCACAAGCAACTCAGCACTGTCGCAAAAGTCAACAAACAGTCAGCCGGTGTCTTTTGAGTGTGTATTCAGACAGCATGCACTGGTGTGTGTGTTCAAACTGTAGAGACATGCCTACAGATATTGAGAGACTCTGCTGTGGTCAGCCTCCAGACCGCTGCATTAGTAATCTACCACACATGGACTTCTATATCCTGGATGAGGGAGTTCTGCGTCTAGCTCGTGCTGCGTGGAATGACATCTTTGCAGTCGATTACATCCAGGAACCAGGTGAAGAGCAGCGCTCATACAGACATGCAGCTTACAGCACGATCCCTTTCGCGTTTCCTCTTTTTAGCCTCCTCCGAAGGTTTAAAATTTTTCCTTGCCTCAGCCATGACCAGGAGTCGAGCAGGTGAAAAATGAGTAGCAAAAGCCTTAGCTCCATGAGTATATCAGCGCCTGTAGCCGTAAAGCATATCTTTCTTCCAAGTCACGTGACCTGGTGGCAGACGGTCCGTCTGCTCTAAAGTTACATGGGCGGTATTTCAAGAGGGCAGCCCCGCTCGGAGCATTGCAAGTGTCAAGCGCTGTATATTGGCCCAAGTATTCATATAAAATAACTCATATGTGTCAACTCTTTAGGTCACAAAGTCCGCGGTGTGCCTTTAAATGCCAAAATGAATAAAACTTATTTGTGATATTTCATCAAATTGAAGCTGTGAATCCTGGGAATATTGTCTTTGCTCATCCATCACACACACACACACACAGTTTCCTCTCTCCCCACAGGTCGGCAGCCGCTTGGTCTTGCAGGCGACCGGACTTCTCATGATCGTTTTGGGAATATTCGGGAAGTTTGGAGCAGTTTTTATCACTATTCCAGACCCCGTGATCGGAGGAATGTTCTTAGTCATGTTCGGAATGATCGCCGCGGTGGGGATTTCCAACCTCCAGGTACAAATCTCTGAAGTTCTGAGTGTTTTATGTCGTCTGTTTCATGTCTCTGAGGAATATATTAGAAAAATGATGTACTGTAGGCCTACGGAAAATCACTGCTGAAGTTAAAGGGAAGATAAATACTATCCTCTCAGTGGTCTACTAAAGCCAGAATTCAATTCAATATCATTGTGTAAAGCCCCAAGTCACAGCTGCAGTTGTCTCGGTGAACTTTACAAAGTGTTCAATTCACCAAAAACAGATCAGTGAATCAAACAGTTTGAACACACAAAATGTAATAATAACAGACACAGGAAATGCAATAATAATAATTTTTAAAAAACCCACAAAGAAGCCATTGGTCGAAATATCCTTAAACGTCCCGGATTATTTCCGTCCTCAAACCCCCTTGTATCAGCAAGGAACCACTCAGAAACCCAGAGGCAAAAAAAAGAAGGCTGTAGATCCAGGACTGAGGCTGTCGGTCTCTCTCTGATTTCTCTCTGGTCTCACTTTTTGTTACCGGTTCATTCTTGTTTCACGCTATATTTTCTACTGAAGATATAATTCCACAATCTAAAACAGAGATGACAAACAAAATAACTCTATATAGGAATAAGGCTCATCCTAACCTTATTCCTATTCATATACATATATATATATATATATATATATATATTTTTTTTTTTTTTTTTGTTTCACCTCCCATCTTCTAAACCATGGACAGGATGCGGGCCCTGCAGAGGGCCCTGTGTGTCTCCTCTCTGGCCACGGCACCTGGAGGTGTCCGGTCCAATGAGGCTTTGTGGGTGATTCTTGATGGTGTCCGCATAATCCCTGAGGTCAGCCGTAATCCTGCTGTTTGGGCCTGAGCCTGGGTCACGTCTCAGCTCAGAACTCCCATTAAAACCAGCCAGACTTGCTGCCCCCCCCACCCCACTATTTAACCTCCTTATACAGCCTGACTCTCCACCTCGACTTGGGCACGTCCTGGTGTTCTGATCCGGGAGGGTTTCATCTTCTCAGAATGGCCCTCATTTATGAAACTTGCGTACGGCCAAATCAGGGTGTAAATAAGGCGTACGCACAAAATTTACACTTTTCGGCATTTATCAATCTGGAGGTGAGCGTACGGTACACACAAAATATACGCCAAGTCTGGAAGTGGTGTAAATGTGTACGCTTATGTCAACCTTCATCACAACACGCCAAAACACGCATGAAATTCAAGATTTGGACAATAAACATGTTCCCATTCTGTCAAGATTATAAACTGCGTTTTCATTGAGCATCATGCTTCAAAATTCAGACGTTTTAGATCCAGAGATTCTCTGTGAAATCATAGACACTTTCCAAAAGCTTGTCATACGCATCCTTCTCTCTCACAGAGATCGCTCAGACGCTTCAATGGTAATGACGAGAGCCGCGGAGATATTAATATTCATTCATTAATTCATTCATTCACTCACAAGTTCAAGAGAGACGAGTGCTGCAGTAGGTCTAGACACAAGGGGAAAAATAAATAAATATATATATATATGTTCATACATATAATATAGCGTATATTTATTTTTAAACAAGCCTTTTTAGGCTTCCAAACAGTCTTCCTGGTCGACTTCCGTGCTGTCGTAAAAACAGGCAGTTTCTGAATATTTATAAGCGTGACTTTCATTAATACGCTAGTTTTCACTACGGCATTTAGGCGCGTATGTGTACGCTCAGATCTGGGTGGATCTCACACGTTTATAAATCCCGCGTTGGGTCTTGCTCATATGGAATCTACACCAAAAATATACACCAGAGCTAAGCCTTGTTGAAGCTGTTCTATCATGGCTTTGATCCAGGCAGAGGAGAGGTCCTTCTTCCAGACCAGGTCCAGTCTATCTGATCTTGTCCTCAGTGAGGGAAAGGAATCCTGCTTGAGACAGACAGCGAGGCAACATGTTGTTGTTTAATATAGAGCAGCGTCTACAGTCAGAGCTCTATCAAATTAAAATGCACAAACTCTGAGTGGTTGAGAATGTAATACAATGAAATTAAATGAAAACAGCTCTGTCAATTTAAATCAATTCATTTGTGTGAATTCCTGAATTTCAATCTGGAGTGACCAAGACAGACCCATTAATGCATTTAGAAAGATTTATTTGTTTGGCGCATTGACCCCGGCAGGGACACTTGCAGAGGGGAGATCATTTGCTGCTGAAAATGATGTCAGATCCCCGGGGACAAGCACTAGTGGTAGCTAGTTGTCAATTTGTCAACAACAGAGCAGAGAATCAAACTGCTTGAACATAATAAATGCAATAATAACAAACACAATGAAGCCATTGGTCCATGGGGATGTTGAGATCACTGCCTTAGACCCTCCTGCATCAGCAAGGAACCACTCCAAAACCTAGTTATGGGAGGCCCATATTGAGAGAGGATACGTTCCCACAGATAGACAGACTGTGTAGTTCCTGGACTGAGGCTGTAGATCTGTTGAAAATTCCTTTCGTTTTTTCCATGTTTGAAAATAATTGGCTGAAAACACACACATGTGATGGGAGAAGTTGTCAATACTAATGTCTGGGTAACTATTTTTTGTTTAAAGAGTGATGTCATAGTGGTTCAATTACATCTTTTTGCCAGAAGTTTCTGATATTGCGGTTGGATATAAAAACAGCTTCAGGTCCACACAGAGAAAAGAGAGAAAAGGCAGTTGTCTCCTTTATGGTAGGAGAGCTCAGAGGATATATCACTGCTCACCATTCATCCAGGTCCAGGTTTGTGATCTGGAAGCGTGTCCGGTGACTCCTCCGCTGGGACCTGGGCTTTCAGAGTGGAGAGGATCATGTTTGAAGTGAACTGTGTCATCGAGCAAAACCCTGAAAAAGTTGAAGACCAGGACTCCTGAGTGTGGGCTGAGTCAGAGCTGAGTCATGTGTACACTCATGGAAGTCTTCTGAACCAAACAAAGCCCCCGCCTGGGAGCCTCTGCAGTTCCATGATGCTCTTTGAGGGAAAAAATCCAAATGCCAAACAAACCAAAAGTTTGGTAATCAAAGTTATTTGTCAGTTAAAACAGTCAGGTTCATATATTTTATCATGGAATCCAAATATCAGTACTGGCAGTTTAAACAGTTCAAACACTTTTCAAATGTATTAGTCTTGTCACTTTTCAAATTGTGAACATGGACAGATGTTACCGGAGTTAACAGAGTTAACCGAAGTATGAGTTAAGTTCAACTGTTTATATCTGACAAAACTCACAGAAACCCATCCACAGGAGGACACAATGACAGCTCGGTTTTCATTTTCATTGTATTTGTCTGCAGCCCTTCTTCACAACAGCAGTCGTCTCAGAGGACTTCACAAAGTTGTGGATTCGCCAACAACAGATCAAAGAATTAAACAGAAAGAAAATATAAGAATAAAAACACATAGTAGCCTTTGAAGTGGCCATACCTGCATGTGAAAGCTAAATCCAAATAGACTTCTGAAGCTAAGCAGGGCAAAACCTGGTTGTTGCTGTGATGGGAGACCCAGGTGTCACAGCCCCAGGATGCGGCTGTGCCAAAGTGTTGTTTTGTCCTTTGACAAAGAAATTCACCCACATTGCCTAGAATGAGTCTTGTGTGTGTGTGAATGGTTGATGGCGGTCGGAGGGGCCAATGACACATTTTGGTTGCCTTGCTTCCGTCAATGTGCCCCAGGGAAACTGTGGCTACAGTAGTCATTTATCGCCTCCATGTATGAAGTGAATGAATAATGACATGTGAAGCGTCTTTGAGTGTCCAAAAACCGCTATATAAAACCAATGCATTATTATTGGTTTATAGGGAGCAGGATGACCACTGTCCAGAAATGTCAATAAATGTCCCAGATCATTACTGTTCCTTAGACCCTTCTGCATCAGCATCTGACCATAATAACCGACCAATCAGTTCTGCTCCCAAACTCACAAATGGCATGAGCAGGAATGGACCAGCCTCGCTCCTGATTGGCTGTTTAGTTTTGCCCTAGATTGCATCGGCCACCACTAGTCATTCTCATAAAACATTTACTGTTTTATTATCCACAGGCACCTGGAGTTACGGTGGTCTCCCATCATAGTGCTGACCAGGCTTGCATTGCTGAGCTTCTGAGATCTGGCACAGCTCTAAACTATTGTGTGTTGTGTTTTTAGTACGTGGATCTGAATTCGTCCCGGAACCTGCTCATCCTGGGCTTCTCCACTTTCAGTGGCCTGGTGCTGCCCACATGGTTCCACTCCAACCCTGGCATCATCAACACAGGTGAGAGCAGGTCTGAACCACGTCTGAAAATCAGGTCTATATCCAGGACCGAGGCTGTAGATCCAGGACCGAGGCTGTAGATCCAGGACCAAGGCTGTAGATCCAGGACCAAGGCTGAAGATCCAGGACTGAGGCTTTAGATCCAGGACTGAAGCTCTAGATCCATGACTGAGGTAGAGTAGAATGGAGTAGGGCTGGTGGAAACGGGGCTAAAGTTTAGCGCCTTAATGGATCAATAATGATAGAGTTGTACTTGAGTTTGAGATGATTTTATGAAGCAATTTATTGTGTTTTCTCTGTTCAAACGATAACAAGTTTAGACTATCATCCCCCAGTTCTCAATGTATTCTTTATACACCAGCAGCGGTTGCAGTGTCATGGGAAATACATTTTGTTTTGTTTTAGTTAAATAGTTAAACTTCTCCAACACAAAGTTCTACAAGCCGATTCCCTGTCATTTTTGAGTAATCATGGAAAGTTTGTAATTTTGTGAAATGTGTGACATTTTGACCTCTGCTAGCATATTTGACCCCAATTATCTCAGGAAGTAAAATGGCCAGACACTTCAAATTTCACAGTGGTATAGAAAATTGTAGAAATGTACATTACGCAAAATCCTATTATAAAAAACAGTCCTACTGAAACAAGAACATAACTCCGCTTTAGGACCTTCAGTCTTCATCCTCCCTATTTCTGCTCTCCCCCCGTCTCTCCAGTCTCTCACTTGTCTCTCCAGTCTCTCTCTAGTCCCTATCGGGTCACTCTCTGCTCTCTCTCTGGTCTCTCCCAGGTGTCTCTCCGGCCTCTCTCTGTCTGGCGTTCTCTGGTCTTTTTCCGGTCTCTCTCTGATCTCTCTCCGGTCTCTCTGGTCTCTCTCCAGTCTCTCCGGGGACTCTCTGGTCTCTCTCCAGTCTCTCTGGGGACTCTCTGGTCTCTGTCTGATAATCTCTCTGCCCATTTCTCTTGGAAAAAAGCTTTTCAATTCTTGAGAATTCCTGGGATGCCTTTCATGAACAGCACATTTGAGAAATAATGTGAAAATAGTATATTCCAATTCTCCAAAAGATGGACAGAGCAAGATGGGTCTGCACAACTGTTATACACTTCAGGGATGGATTTTAGTCCAAAGAAAATCTTTATGGATAAAGGAAAAAGCAACAGATCAGGTGCATATCTTATCCTACACAGTGCCCCTGTTGTGAGTGTTGCCAGGACGATGAAGTTGGCGTCTGTCTAAGCCGCTCACAGATGGTACCTGCTCCACTCTGGAGCCAGGTCCGATCTAAACCGGCGCTGACCTCGGTGCCAAACTGGATTTACAGGCACTTTGGGAGAAGACTACGACACATAGGGGGCGCTGCAGAGTGTGGGAGCCCGGTGTATTACGCTTTATTTTTGGACGCATAAACAATAATGAGATTGTTTGCTTTAGCATTTCATGTTTGAGATTGAGAAATATTATCTTCAGCATAAAATATATAGTGGAACAAGTATGGAGGGTAAAAAATGCAATAAGCCTGTAAATCCCTTTGCTGCCACCAGAGGGAGCGTGTTTTCCAAATTTAAAGATGAGATTATAGAGGAGTGGGGAGAGAGGCAGTGTAAAGACCGTCACTGTCGTGTCATTTTCATTCCCTTTATAATTCCATTTCTGGGTTGGATGCTGCTTCAACAAAGATACAGCATCAGTGTTTCAGCTGGGGCTTCGGGCTATGTGGGGTTAAGTGTCTTGCCCAGAGACACAATGACAGCAGACTTCAGTGGGAGTAGATGACATGGGTTGAGGGGGGATCAAACCCATGACCATTAGGTTCAGAGACCAATGTTCTACCAACTGAGCCACTGTCGCAACCAGATGGTCACCTCTCCTAATTTAGCAAAACTAAACTCCTTATGTTTTAAAACTACTCTGATGTCGTAGTGGTACAGCATACTGTAACAGGACTGACACAGGAGCTTTAGGAGCAAAGGGGCTGTGACTGATGAGGAACAATGTTGGAACATGGAGATTTTGCAGAATATGTCCTTTAAAGCTGGGACACCTATCTTTTTTTCTTTCATTATTAACACATGTTAATAATGAAATGCTGTGAACAGATCAGACCACGCCATGCTGTTTCCAAAAATCATGAAAACATGTAATTTTGTGTACTATTGCTATACTGCTGCTACTGCTATGACTGAATGAATGACTGAATTAATAAAGGAATGAATGAATGGATACATAAATTAATACATTTTATTTAAGTGTCATGCAGATATGTACCCAGCCTACATGGGCTTATATGACACTGACACACACAAAAAAAGATGGTCCAAGCAACAACTATCATTTCATCTCTGAATACAGTGTTCTCAGTCCCAGTGTCCAGGCCTTTTTTCACAAAAGTGACAAACCAAATAAAAAAAACCAAAATAACATTTCACCTTCAGACAGCCCAAATCAAATCAAAATTTATCCTCTGAATGATCTCTTACAAATTAGTTCTTAACCCATGATACAAAGGGCAGTAAACAAAAAGTTAAATTCATCTTGACATACAGTACAGGTTCTGTCCTCTTCTGGAACGCCCGTGTAACACCCTACTTCCACCTCTAGGGGCAGCAGTCATCCTTTGAGCTGAGCACACAGAGAACTCTGTCTCCTTTTTAAATTATATTTTATCTTTAAAATTGTAAATAACTCCTTAGTTTGGGCCGAAGAACCCGACACATGCGACCCCCAGCCCCACCAGCAGTATATTCATGTGATAGGGGAGGAACACGTAGTTGCAGCAAAAGGAAACAAGTGATGTTTGTATCAGACAATAATATATTTTTTACAAAAATAAAAATGTTAAAAAAAGGTCCCAGCGAGTCGCTGTCAGCCCGGGTTCCCCAGCTTCGACTCCTGGAGGCATAGAGCAGAGCAGCGGCAACGGGGTGGAAGGCAGGCTGCCAACTGCACATAGATTCGTCAACATAAACATGAGCACCGCTACTTTCCCACAATTACCAGCGAGGTCGAGCTTACACTCGGCCGCCGTCTGTATTACTCCTTGCGGTGCTCAACCCGGTGGATCGCGTCTCCCGTGGTGCAGGGGACCCTGGAGGCAAAGCACATCCACACAGAACAGCGCCAATACACCCCAACGAGTCCCTGCGCCAAAGGCTACTTCACGAACACCACTACGAGTCCGGGCCGGTTCATATGGGACTAACATGTCATTAATATATTTTGGTGCGAGGCCATGGAGAGACTTGTACACAAGTAGAGCTGTTTTAAAGTCTATTCTCTGAGCCACAGGAAGCCAGTGCAGAGACCTGAGGACTGGACTAATGTGGTCGTACTTCCTGGTTCTAGTCAGGACTCGAGCTGCTGCATTTTGAATGTACTGCAGCTGTTTTACAGTCTGTTTGGAGAGACCTGTGAGCAGGCCATTGCAGTAGTCTAACCTACTGGAGACAAACGCATGGATAAGAATCTGCAAGTCTGCTTTAGACACAATGTTTTTGATCCTGGCAATGTTTTTTAGGTGGTAAAAAGCTGCTGATGTTACTGATTTGATGTGGCTATTAAAATTTAAGTCTGAGTCCAGTATTACCCCTAGATTTCTGACCTTGTTTGAAGGTTTTAGGGAGAGAGACTGTAGATGACAGATGACGCTCTCTCTCTGTTTCTGGGGACCAAAAACAATCATTTCAGTTTTGTCTGCGTTTAGCTGAAGGAAGTTATTTTGCATCCACTCACTGATCTGTTGGATACAGTGAAGGAGTGAGTCCACTGGTCCATGTTCTAGGACACTTTGTTTCTGCGTATTAACTGACCTAACGGCAGCATGTAGAGATTGAACAGGTCCCAGGATTGACCCCTGTGGTACTCCACAGGTCAGGGCCATATGATCTGAGACACAGTTTCCAATCTCCACAAAGTACTTCCTGTCTTCAAGGTAAGACCTGAACCAACTTAGGGCGGTGCCAGCGACTCCAACCCAGTCCTCTAATCTCTGTAAGAGGATCTCATGGTCGACGGTGTCAAAGGCAGCACTCAGATCTAACAGGATTAGGATTGAGACTTTGCCTGCGTCAGTGTTCAGCCGGATATTGTTTGTAACCTTAACAAGAGCAGTCTCAGTGCTGTGGTGGGGTCTAAAGCCGGACTGAAACATATCAAATGAGTTGTTGATTATAAGAAATCTACAGTACCTTGCGAAAGTATTCGACCCCCTTGAACCTTTCAAACTCACTCCAGAAGTTCAGAGAGGATCTTTGAATGATCCAATGTTGTCCTAAATGACTGATGATGATAAATAGAATGCACCTGTGTGTAATCAAGTCTCCGTATAAATGCACCTGCTCTTAGATAGTCTCAGGGTTCTGTTTAAAGCGCAGAGAGAACCATGAAGACAAAGGAACACACCAGGCAGGTCCGAGATACTGTTGTGGAGAAGTTTAAAGCCGGATTTGGATACAAAAAGATTTACCAAGCTTTAAACATCTCAAGGAGCACTGTGCAAGCAATTATATTGAAATGGAAGGAGTATCAGACCACTGCAAATCTACCAAGACCCGGCCGTCCCTCCAAACTTTCATCTCAAACAAGGAGAAGACTGATCAGAGATGCAGCCAAGAGGCCCATGATCACTCTGGATGAACTGCAGATAACTACAGCTGAGGTGGGAGAGTCTGTCCATAGGACAACATCTGGCCTTTATGGAAGAGTGGCAAGAAGAAAGCCATTTCTCAAAGATATCCATAAAAAGTCTTGTTTAAAGTTTGCCACAAGCCACCTGGGAGACACACCAAACATGTGGAAGAAGGTGCTCTGGTCAGATGAAACCAAAATGGAACTTTTTGGCCACAATGCAAAACGATATGTTTGGCGTAAAAGCAACACAGCTCATCACCCTGAACACACCATCCCCACTGTCAAACATGGTGGTGGCAGCATCATGGTTTGGGCCTGCTTTTCTTCAGCAGGGACAGGGAAGATGGCTAAAATTGATGGGAAGATGGATGGA